GTATATAGACTGGCATTAAAAATTAAATAAAAAAAAATAGCGAAATGGAGGTGTTAAGGTGAAATCCTGTAGTTTTGCGTTCATCCCACCTTTCGCAAAACTGTTTTTTTCAATTTTTTTTTATTATTATTAATGTCATTTAACTGAAAAAAAATCACCGCAGCTGGGCCAGTCTAGATTCTATAGTATCCATTGTGTTCTTTTAGTACTGTGTATCATTAATTAAATTCTTTAATTGGAACCACTTAAGTATGACTTAATTAAAAACTGTGATTATATGTTTTTAGAGTGGTAGAAAATGGTTGAGGAACTTCATACTACAGCAAATATTGAGAGATAATAAGAAATTCACTAGAAAGAAGAAAACCAGAGATGTTTTGCACAGTAGAAATTTACTTTCTAAATTCTTGTATTACAGGTGAGTGTATAATCATAAATCTATTTGAAAACTCTATAAATGTGTTGGACTCTCATTGCTCCTTCCTATTTATGAAATTTTAAAGTGATGATTGTTATCATATCTTGTCACCATTTAAAAAAAAAAAATTGTACCAGGGCAGACCCAAAATCAACAAACATATGATAAACATATTTTATGTAACACCAGAGTCTTTGATGTTTACCACAGTTCTTTGTACATTGTAGTCTGTATATGTTTGCTCAATCTTGTGTTATTTACCCGTGTCTTTATATCGTAGTATTGACAGTGTACCCGAATCGGATGGCGCATGTAATAGTACGTATACCGTGGAAGAACCGGACGATATATCACCTGACCAATCATCAACGAACTCATCATCCCATACTATCAAGGATGATATATCGTTTTCAACTGGTGATATATCACAGGTAAAGAAATGCAGATTTACATGTCATGTCTTGTCACCAGGGCTCCAACATAGCCTACAACTTCCTGTTGTTTCGTCAACCCTTTTCGCACAACTTTAATTATTTTTATTGATGCAATTTTCTGGGAATTTTCATATTTTTTGACAATGACATTTTTCACAATGTGATAGTGTATTTCCAATACCAGTTCTTGGCACTGAAAAAACGGTAATTCACAATTTCTAAAACGTATACTGAGGTAGAACTATTCAACACTGTTCACAACCATGAACAGGTCGTGTTCACTTCTAGTTTCAACCTTTAGTCATGATGGACACTGTAGTTATTCAGAAAAGTAATATGATGTTCAAGACCAGGTTTTATGTCTTGATGGTTTAATTTGTGATGTTTCTGCAAGCGGTGGGTAAGAAATCCCTGAAAGTGGGAGGGTGTCTGCTTAGGCAAATGAGTACAGTAAAAGTACATGTACTATTTTTCATGCATATTCATGGACATCTACATCTAGGGAATTTTTCTGTTCATTGAATCGTAACCATGAATTATAATACATAATTATAATAATGATCTATAATGATTAAAAAATACTTTTCTGCATGCAATCGTTTTTTCAGTCCCATCAAAGTGAATTTGCCCGTCAAGTTTTATGGCAATTTGAAGACATCCAGATGCTGATAGGAACTGACTTACCTATATTTGGAGGTGGTCAATATCCTGCTGTCAGTCTCAGGCTAAGGTATGATATGGACTTTTGAGAAATAAGTATGACCGTTTACTACTGGGAATTTTTGAGATTTTAGTATCTTGTACATGTAGCTTTTCTGAATGACAAAATGATAACTTACAAGTTTTAGAAGGGTTGGTCTAAATAGTGGAAATGAATGCAACTACAGCTGTACTTTAACAATTTTACCCTCCCTAAAACAAATAAGAATTAAAAATCACCATAGAGAGAATTGATTGCTGTAATTGATGTATTTATTTCGAAACACTGACAAAACACAGCAATTCTCAATTAGTTATAAAGAACATTGTTATACATCTGTCATCGTAACGCCATAAGTTACAACGTGCCGTAATTTTGCGGCATTTTACAGGGTATTTTCATCCTTCCATTTTAGGAAATGCAAATTCCAAATATGGAATGATTACGTGCGTAATAATAAAAACAAACATGGTTGCCAACAGAGTTTGACTGGACTCCACACAAAGAAGTTCGCTGATTCTGTTCTAAACATTTTGAATTTCGGCATTCCCATGATGTATGAATGTATCCTTTGAAGGAATAAGATGTATAATAATAAGGTTATTACGAAGATACCTCAAAGTATGCACTCAAGACAGTACGCCGCGCATCGACCTCCGCTGCGCGACGGTCGATACTTCAGCTGTACTGACTTTGTGCATACTTTGAGGTATCCTCATAATAACCTCACAGTATGAATCACTCATTACTTCTAAACACTGCATTTAATATATCATGTGACGTAAAACTTCATTGGAGCGGCTGGAAGAATTTGGAAGTGAAAATTTTTCCTGATTCCTGCAACATGACGGTCATTGACTTTGACGATAAAATAATAAAATTGCAAAATTTTCTAGCAGCAAAAATTAAGCGGCTTAGATTATGGAGAGCTTGTGCACCATAATTATAAACTACTTCCTTCCATCATTTCTCCTGTAATTTCCATGGAATTGTATTTCTTCTATGTTTTGGTACATGCTTATAAGCATGTAGAAGAATTAATAAACACAGTTTGTGATCACTTAAGTTTGGTCATACATGCTTATTTATTCATTTATTTATTTATGAATAATATGTTTATATTTGGGTATTGTTTCCATAGAGACATGAGTAAACCGATCAATGTGCTCACTGGATTAGATTACTGGTTAGACAATCTAATATGTAATGTACCCGAGTTAGCCATGTGTTATCATCTTGATGGCATAGTCAAGAACTATGAACTGTTGAGAACGGAGGAAATCCCGCAAATTCCGGATTCGCAATTTTCACCAACGGTTGTCAAAGATATTGCACAGAATGTGCTTTCATTCCTGAAATCAAACTGCACAAAAGAAGGGCATACGTACTGGTTGTTTAAAGGTAGGTGTACCCATATTTGGTACTCTATTATATAATTTCTCAGAAACAGCTATGATCATAGCATAATCAGTGTGCTCTCTATACCTATATGACGTGTTATTGACACACAAAAATTTGCTGTTGCGTCATCTCAACCAAAACTCAGACGTACATGTATTTTGGTAAACGTCTTGCTATAGTTATGGAATTTGTAATTTGGCTAAAATGAAGGTAATCAGTGGCTACAACATTTGTGTCTGTGTGTCAGGTCATTTATACAGCCACATACAATTTGCTGTTTTCTAATTATTTGTTTTACAGTGTATCAGTGAAATATTTTATTGTACAAACCTGTAATTGTTTATTTATTTTGTTTTTTGTAGCTCCATAAAAAAAAAAAAACTTCTTCATATTTTTGCAATTTGTGTTGACCTGTAGGTAACAATGATGACGTTGTTAAGTTGTACGACTTGACGTCACTGTGTTCTGAGAATGACGTCAACAATACGTGGGATAATCCATTCGCTGTGCCTGTTGCATTGCTGTTGTATAACGTAGCAAAGAACATGAAACAAAGCAATGATAGGTAATTACTTGCAATTAGTTATATACAGGGACAACTCAGTTATATGATATCACATGCATCTCATTTATATCTTCCCAGTGTCACATATAACTGTACAGTTCAAAATTCACATCACATATGATGAACCATATGCACTACCTTAGACATATATATGTATTTCTGTTTCATCACCAGGGATTGGTCAACTATTTCACAGTTACTAAAGAATTGTTTGAGTTTGTTAGACAAAGACAAGAATCCGCAGGTTAGTGACAAAAAGATTTAAACAAAGCTTCAACCATCATAATTGTGTACTGTACACTCCATATATAGACTGCCTTTCTGTTAGGGATTGTTCAAAAATCGGTGGTCGTCGCGCAGCGCATGTTCGCATTTCATGTGAACAAACAATGTATTTTGTTGCTGTGAGTGCACCATTGCCCTTTAACTATTTTTAGTAACAATTTAGTTTTACAGTT